GGAGACTCCACTGGTTCCAGACACCAGGACGCCCCCAGAGTTCCAGGCTTCAGTCGGTCAGAGCTATTTTGGCTGCATGCACCTACACAATATTTTGGAGGCGGCTTTAATGTCGTCAGTGTAAATCCATGCACCAAAATATGTAATATGAAGTCACTGATAGATACTACTTAGTTGCACCTGTCTTCATGCAGGTAAAATGGAATGCTCATTTGAAGCACAAAGCACTGCGACCTCTTGCCGGAGACATGACAGCATCTTTTCACACTGGAGAATCCCCTAGATGATTGTCATGGTGGTAGCTCTGCTGACCTTCTCTCATCTCTTTTCTTTTACCTTTCTGCATACTAACCTCTGCTGAATTGTAAACATCACACCTGCAAATCGGCCGCCAGTCAGGAACTTCTCACCTCAGCTCATTTTTTGACCTGCTAGTCACACCTCAGTATACACAGAGAGGCTGCATATCAGTAGGTTTCTGCCACATCTTCCATGTTTTTCCAGTGGTTGAGCATATATGTTGCTCTGCCCTCTGGATGTTGTTCCCCTGATCCGACTGTCCTTTTACTGCTGACTGAAATTCTGCCTGATGTTTTTTTTTTTTTTTTTTCATGTTCTGCCTTGTGAATCTATTTTAGGTTGTAGATCCCTAATCCAGTAATGCTGCATCTCTCTTAACAGCCATTGGAAATGAATAAATGCAGATTGGAGCTGCTCAGGTGCAAATTTTAGCCGCCGCTTAGTCAACACCTCAGAGAGAGAGAGAGAGAGGGAACAGTAATGATCCTCCATCTTATTTATATCATTTGAATTAAAGTCAACAGCCAGAATCAAAAGCTAACAGTTTTTTTTTTAAATTGTCAAAACTCAGTCTCCCTCCACAGTTACATCATGTGTGCTCAGCTTTAGAAACAAATTTGCTTTGTGGACATGTGGTGCTAAAGTTCCCTAAAAAAAACAAACAAACAAAAAAAACAATCTTTGCACAAAGTTTCTTTCATTTTGAAACATTGACTGTCATCTAATAAATCATAAATACCACCTCCGTCTTTTACCAAGTGAGGATGTTGCATTGGAGGCATGACGTGTTTTGCCTCTTTAGGTCATATACCTTCTTCAAGAGGATGGTGACTAACACTTCCTTTAACAGTGTACGTCAGTGGCAGAGCTAAAAATAGACTGCCCTGGAACGTGACTTCAGTTGGGGGGAAAATGTTTTTACATCACAGGCTGCTGATTTTGACACACGACTCAGATGCGTTTGTGTCAACCTCACTGTTCTTATCTTAGGTCTTCATTTGTTCCCCTTGAGGATCAATGTTATGCCCTCTGTTCCTATAGCAACATCTATCAATCTATCAATCTATCTATCTATCTATCTATCTATCTATCTATCTATCTATCTATCTATCTATCTATCTATCTACCTTGCATCCATTCATGAATGTCATCCTTTTCTTCTTGTCCTTCCTCCTCCTGCCTGGTTATTTATATTCTCCACTGAATCATATATTGCCATGGATGTGACGCATGCGCAATAGACATCGTGAAAATCTGAATCATCGATGGAAAGCGAGAGAGAGAGAGAGAGAGAGAGAGAGAGAGAGAGAGAGAGAGAGAGAGAGGTGACTGTAGAGTGATGGGACCCGGCTGAGGAACAGCAGCGAGTGATCCTCTCCGAGCTGCTAATGACAGGTAAATGTTTTTTAGTCGTATTATTTGTAATATTATTATATGATGCTTTAGCAGCAGACTTGGATTCTGTAAACAGCACGAGGAGGAATTCATATTTCTGTGCGAGGAGTCCTTCAGCGGTGTCATCGTTCACATCGCAGCTCATCATGGTGCACATCTGGAAGCAGCTTCAAATGCATGTGAAGGATCATGTCGAACAGATGTTGCTTCTAAAACTTAATGTTTTTGTTTTTTTAATCTTTAGCCAAATTCTACCTTGTGTTAACTAATCAAATGAGATAAACACAACTTCATCTATATGATTGTATTTGCAGATGTGGGATAACTTTTTTTTTTTTTACTCTCTATGCTGCTCAGCTGCTTTGATCCATTATTTGTTTTTTTCTGAGTTGAATTGGAAAGCGTGTTGTGTTGTGTGTCTGTTTGCGTCTCACGGTGGGCTGGGAGGACGAATGGATGAGCTGTGTTTGCAGACTGGCGTCACACATTACGTCTGTGTGTGTTTTCCTGCTGGCTGAGGGCTGGATGGTAATAATGGCGCTCAGCACCACGGCCAGCGACACGTACTGACACGACAGGCACGGTTACTACACCGTGCGAGCATTTACAGCTTCATTTTCTAATGAATTCAGATTTTATTCCTCATGACCTATTTGGCTTATGCTAATTTATTCGAATTGAGGGGGTTATTTTAGTCACAGCTTGTCTTAGGGGGCTGGAGATGAGGAGAAAGTGTCACAAGATTAGACTGAAGATCCTCCTGTAAGAATCATACCTTTAGGTGCAGAAAGATGGGTGACAAATTAGAGGAAACAAAATGTCTTACCCACCTGCTTCATCTTATCCAAGTCTCTAGGACTCTATTTAAGGGCTATTCCTCCAAAAGACATTCCCTCATTTGGTGTTTTGATGATGCTGGAGAAGAGATCGACACATCGGCCAGCTGTTATCGGACTGTTTTGGTGTTATTGTTTAAAGTCAGTGTTGAATGTTGAATGTCATGAAGGACAATGAGTAATTCTATAGGAATTCAAGTGAATTGGATGCCATTTGAAAAGCTTGTTGTTGTTAATTTCGATATGACGATATAAAAAAACATGTACAATCTAGCTACATGTTTCCACTCCTGATAAGGGTTTGAATTGAAAGAAATTACACCCTGATGTAGGCTATATAACTTAGCAAGTAGCTGCAGTTCATAATCAACAATCTCATGTTTCTATTTGTCATTATTTGGCAGTACAATTCAGATACTGCTGCAGATGCTTTGCAGGATCTGGGCGGCGACAGATGTTCATGAGAGTCTTCAGCTTGTACAAATTAACCACTAATATGATTAACGAGATGTGCCAGAGAACAGCGCGTCTCGTCTTAATGTAGTATTTCACTAATCGTGCTCATGTGTTGCGGACGAACAGTCCTTTTTGTTTTTTTCTTTTGCTTAGGAAGGTTTTTAATTGAGCTACCCGGAAGTGTTTAAGTGGCAGTCGTGATCAGAGCTGGTTGAATTCTATGAAAAA